AGTGAATTATGCAGTATTCCTTCATAAACAAGAAGACACAAATTATCATTCAGGTGGTAAATTTGCAATAACGTTTAATCTGTAGACAAGTTCCACAAATTAGGTGATATAGATGGTGATATAAATCTTGTAAAAGCTATTTGCTTTATTTTTCTTCTTTTGAATTTGCTATTAAATTATCTCCGTTTTAAAGGCAACAATGACATAGCAAATAAAAAGACACAATAATCTCAGTTAAGTCTTAGAATAATTAAGAAATTAAAGAATAAGAGTGGCAACATGTATGTCTTTTGTTTATTATTGCTTTTGTTTTACTCTTTTTTTTTTTTTTTTTGGAGTCAGAGTCTCATTCTGTTGCCCAGTCTGCAGTGCAGTGGCTTGCTCACGGCCACCGCAGCCTCGACCTACTGGGTTCAGGCAATCCTTTGGCCTGTCTTTCAAGTAGCTGCAAGTATAGGTGCGTACTACCATTCCAGGTTCGTTTTGTTTTTGTTTTTGTTTTTTTTAATTGTAGAGACTCTTTCTCACCAAGTTGCCCTGGCTGGTCTGGAATCCTTACGTTCAGGCAATCCTCTTGCCTCTGCATCCCAAAGTGCTGGGTTGACAGACTTGAAACACTGTACCAGGCCTTGTTTTACTCTTTACCTTACCATTTACTGATTGAAAGTAATCATAAAACAACATGGTATATTAGGAAAGTTAGTAAATTGAGGATAGAGAGCCTTGGATACTAGACCAGTCTGAACCATTCAATCATTGATTTAATGATTAATCATTTAATGATTCAATCATTGATTTAATGATTAAGGCAAATAACCATACTGGTCTTATCTTTATCCTTGTTAAATATATCATTACTAGTAAGTTTCAAATACTTAAGAGCATAAATATCCTGTGATAAAATACAGTATCTATTTTTATGAATTGTATGCAAATCACTTTCCTATTTCAATATACCCAATAAATTATTAAAATATATCAAACTTGATGAAAACTTTCCAAGTTTTTTTAAACAATAAGAAATGAGACTTGTTTTTGAAAAAGTAGTTTACATCTTGAGAGTTTTTCTGTCCACTTTCCCACCAAACATAGGAATCTATGCCGCGTGATCCTTACATATTATACATATCTGTGATAGAAAGCCAGGCTTGGTGGCTCAGCCTGTAATCCCGCCCTTTGGGAGGGTGAGGTGAGTGGATTGCCCGAGCCCACGGGTTCGAGACCCGCCTGGCCAACTTGGCGAGACCTCATCTCTATAACAAATCAAAAACTAGCCGGAGTGGTAGCCCACCCTGTAGTTCCAGCTACTTGGAAGGCTGAGGCGAAAGGATCGCCGAAGCCCAGCGGGTCGAGGCTGCGGTGGCTGGGAGCGGCTACTGCACTCCAGTCTGGGCAACAGAGTGAGACTCCAGCTAAAAAAAAAAAAAGAAAAAAGAAAAAAAGAAAATCACTGCTGACTGCTTTTAATCTTAATTAAATTCTTACCTTGCACAAAAATCTTTTTAAAATTAACCCTAAGGTTACTATTTTCATTAAGTTTTTCTTTATTCCACTTACTTTTTTGGTTGTTAAAATGAGTTTCATCTTTCCCTAAATCTCTTTTTTAAATACAAAATGTGCAATGTTTCAGACTCATTACATGAAAGACCGGTCATCATGTTTTGATACTTTCTATAAATGGCCAATTGCCTGCTATCTTTCCTTTAAGGTATTGAGTCTAGAAGCATGTATAACTCAAATACAATTTCATTAAATTTAAGCACAAAAAGACTATTACCATTTTTTTTCTAAAAAAAAAAAATCAATTTCTTTATTTTATCTTGTGCTTGTAGTTCAATTCATTCACAGTTCACTGTTGGTTTATTTGCTTACCTTGCAGGATGTCAACTGAAATGCAATTGACAACTATCAAGTTCATAACTGCTTTTCAATTACATTTGTAATTACTTTGGGTAATTTTAGGAAGTTATTTTAGATTAAATCAAGTTCATTTAATTAACTCAATAATTTTTTAAATATTTATCTTCTATAATATTTGAGTAATTTCTTAACATGTAAATTTTAGTATTTATATTTTAATAGCATTTCCTTTGGTAAGACAAAAAGTTCACTGAATCTAAGAGGCACTGTTTTTGTCCAAGTATTTACCAATATAAAATATTCATCAACTGTTGATATTTTTCTTTTTTTTCACTTTTATACAGTGAATATCATTAAAAGACTTTGCATTATTTTAACTCTTTTTTTTACATATATTGTGTTAGGCTTCATTACTCTTCATGCAATTCTAAAGTATGAATGGCTTTTCTGTATAAATGTCTGATTATGTATTCATCAATATACCTTTTTAATATTCTTTATCTTTGAAAATGAAGCTGCAGTGTTTTATACACACACACACACACACATATACACACATACACTTATATATATGTATATATGAATTATCTTTCTTTTCTTTTCTTTTTTTTTGAGTTGGAGTCTCACTCTGTCACCCATACTGGAATGCAGTGGCTGCTCCCGGCCACCGCAGACTCGACTTGCTGGGTTCCAGCGATCCTTCCGCCTCAGCCTTCCAAGTAGCCGGAATTACAGGCATACACTACCATGCCCAACTGATTTTTGATTTATTGTAGAGATGAGGTCTTGCTGCCCAGGCGGGTCTCGAACCCTCCGGCTCAGGCAATCCACTCACCTCAGCCTCCCAAAGGCGCGGGATTACAGGCTGAGCCACCGAGCCCAGCTTAATTATCTTTCTTTTCAAAAGAGTTGTAAGAGATAGCAACCTTCTTAAAATAAAGATATTTGAATTACAGCTAAGTATTACTTAGTTAAAATGTTATTACTTGATGATAGGGACGATTCCAATTATCAAGGAAAGGACTCTAAGGCATAGTTAAAATAGGATAGGAGTCACACAATTCGGATTCAACATTTTAGGTTATATAAGAAACTGTCAGCAACATTGGGCCAACTACATTGTTCTAATTCAGTTGCGAGCCGGTAGCCTAACTTCAGTATAATCAGCATCGTAAACAACCTTTCTATTCATAGATGTTAACAGTCCACATGTTCTCTTTGCTTTAGAAACATTTTTCTGCCCTTTTCCCACTCTCATCTACTTCATCTCAGCAAGCAGCCAAATAAGCCAATATTCACTCATTGAATTCATAGACAGTGTTATTTGCTTCGAATGATGGTTTTGCTTTGACATTTCCCTACACAAGGAGCATAAAATGCTATTGAAAATTATAACTCACATGAATATTACTTAAAAAGACAGAACTTGACAGCTTATGCACTTCCATTATAAGTATTCAATTACTTTTGTTAAATGAAATTGGATTCCCATAAGGTTTGTATATTATCTAATACCCGTAGATTGTTCACAAAGTCAATTAAAACTGTAGAATCTCTATTGCATTCATTTGTATCATATCTTCCTTGATGGAAGCTTTTTACTGTGATTAATAAAAGCAGCTATTTTACTGTTGCAGTGGCTAACACCTGCAATCCCAGCACTTTGGGATTTGGAGGCAAGAGGATTGCCTGAGCCCAGGGGTTCGAGACCAACCTGAGTATATCGGGGACACCTCAGCTCTACAATAAATAAATAAAAATTAGTCAGACATATGACTAATGAGAGCGCCTGTAGTTCCAGTTACATGAAAGGCTGAGGTGGAAGGATAGCTTGAGCCCAGTAGATCATGGCTGCGGTAACTGTGAGAGTGTCGCTGCACTCTAGCCTGGGCAACAGAGTGAGACTCCAGCTCAAAACAAAAATAAATACAATAAAAAATAAATAAGTAAATAAAAGTAGCTATTTCAAAATATTTTGCAACAAATAACATTACCATATATTTCTGAACATTAAATGACTCTAAAATAATAGCAAGTGTACTAAAAAACAAAACGAAGTGTCTTTATCTGTATATTTTCTAAAAAACTAAAATAAACTGTTAAAATTAAATGTTTGTGCTTTTCCCATTTGCATGCTCTTTCTAGATTTTGTTTAGACATAATTATACATAGATATTAACTTACTTAAACATTTTTTTCTGTATGAGTTATTTGTCCATGAACGGTTACATGTATAAGTTATCTTTTTTGCAGCAAATTTATAGGGAGGTGATTCTAATAGTCTAGTTGCTTCACATTATCATTGCTCTTGCTGAAACTTTAAAATATGATGTCTTAAAAACAAAGATGATAATTGTGGACCATTCCTTTAAAGATATTATTTTTCTAAATTTGTTATATGTTAGACAAATTTGTTTAACATTGGATGACAAAGTTAAAAAAAAAAACTTTCATGTGAGATTTAAAATAATGATATCAAAAGTATTTTAAGAATTATCAGAATTATTTTCTGGTAATTGTAGATCAACTTTTCATTATGGCACTGTAAAATAAAGGTGGTTTGGTTTTCTGTATAGATAGAATTATCTAGTATTCTATTTATTCTCAGTGGTAGTATATACAGAACATATTAAAGTTATGTTTCTGCCATGGTCAACACACTCATAATACCCAAAGTCAATAATATGTATAATTCTGATAGAGTCCCTTCCTTCTGATAGAGGAAAACACCCAATTTCAGGAACCAGTTTTAGGTAAATTTTAATTGATATTAAAATACTCCAGTTTCAAATGAATATATGCAAGCCTTTTATTAAAAAGTAAATTACATGGACTAAAGTGCATGTAATTTCATAGACCATACAGTCTGATATATGCTCATAACCTGAACACATCTAGTAAAAATTTCCAGAATTAAAAAGCAAAAATTTATCATATTTAAAACTTACCTTCTTCTTTCTTTCAGTCACCATCCACCACTTCTGGTTAGCACCTTGCCAAAAGTAAACATTATTTCCATTTTCAATGCTGAATAATCCATTTTACTTCTCAAGATTTAATGTCTTCTCATAGGAACTATAAATTCTATAAACTATATCTACACTTTTGTTGATGACTATATGTTATTTTTCATTGAATAGGTCCAAAGTGGTACCCTTCTCGAATTGGTCTGCAGTTAGAATGTGGTAAGAACCAATTTTCAATTTTCTGTTTATTATTTAGAATCCTTATTCTATCATCATGAACAGCTCACATTTATTTATCACTTGGTAGAAATATAAGTATTAGTAAATGTTATTTAATTTGATTATCTAAAAAAACCTAGTACTCTTCTTTTATAGGACAAGTATTTTAATCTCAAAGATATTTCAATTGTATTTACTGTCTGTGAGCTTTGGGGCAGAATTTGAACTGACAGCATTCCCTCTGTAATGGTTTAACTGGTACATACCTTCATTGTACTACCCTGTAACATAGTCTTAAGGATAACGCTTAGATATTTTAATTGATTTTTTTATTTTTTGCTGCTAAAAAGCAGAAAATGAAGTAAAAAAGAATGAAAAAAATGAAGTTGGGGAAGTATTATATCCACTATTAAACCTCAGTTCCTCAGAATTCAAACCCTGGTATCTCAGGAAATTTATCAATAGATACACTTAAAAATGACTCTTACTGAGAATCATTGTTATTAATATTACATCAACTTGATCTTAAATTTGAGATTTTTGATTTTTATAAAAGCTGTGGGTAGCATATATATTATTTTCTGGATGGAGGAAGAATATTTATCCAAAGTCCTTAATAGTAAATTCATAAGAGACATCTATTTCAGTCTCTATTTTTGTCACACAATAAAGAGTTGATTTCTTTCTAGCACTTTTGCTATATTAGGCTGTGCTTGCTCAGATATTGCACACACTTAAAGGCAAACTATGATTGCCTGAGTCTTTCACAAATATGGTGTGTGTTTTCATTGCTATGTATTCCATCTCATCCTTCACTAAGACCTATATGTTGAAAACATCAGAATATATAACAGTTTTAGAAGTCACACTTTTTTATGCTCTTAAATTCATTCTAGCTAAAATGTTTGAGACAAATTTCTATCTGGCTAGAACTTCAGAAAGCAAAATCATTGTCTTATTTATTTTTGCCTCCACAGACTCTAGCACAAGTCAGCACATAAATGCTTTTCAACACATAGATGCTGATATATGTGAGATGAAATAGTAGTGGTGTTGTTTTCTGAACTTGACTCTTACACAAAAGGACTCTCCAAGAATGTCACCGGCATCAATGCCAAATGCAACTTCAATTTAAAGGACATTATAATTGGCTGAGAAATATCTATTCAACTTTTTTGGTGAATATGATATTTTACTTTCCCCTCAAAGTTATTTAGCTGGTTGAGTGTACCAGGGTATGACCAGAGTAAAATATATATGTCTTAAGTGTTCTTAAATAGGGATTTGATTATGTATTTGGAAAAAAAGTTCAGTTGATATAGTGAGATGTAGCGCAAAGAAAAGATTATTTAGATTAACTCAAAAATTTAAATTTGACTCTTCTACTTACCTATCTACAGGGTTTTCTTTTATAAGGTGAAACTAATTTAAAAAACAATGATTTATTTTTAAAGGGTTAAATCAGATGATTTTATAATGATTGCCACATACCAGATGCTCCATAATAGTCATATCCATTAATACCAAAACAAACAGGGTCTTAATAGTATATGTGTTTGCTTGTAAAGTATATTTACCAAAATGACTGCCTTATCAGTAATGACTTCATGTAAATATTAGAGACTTAAGAAGTTTCCTCACCCAAAATACTTCTCTAAACAGAAATAAAAAAACATGTGCTAATTTATATGGGTAAAATGATTTATTTAGCTCAGTGGTTCTGCTAAGTTGAATATGGCTATACTTGGCTGACCTTGATTAGATTCACTCATACAGTTGCCATTAGTTGCTGGGGTGTTAGCCACAACTGCAAGGACTTTTCATAGCTCTATGTGATCTCTCATCTTTAGTGGAATATTCTGGGTTTATTCACATGTTGGAAGCAAAGATATAAGCAAATAAGCAAAAACACTCAATAATTCCTGAAGGTTCTTACTTGCAACTGGCAAATGATTATTGTCCCATAAGTCACTAGGGCTGCACATATTCAAGGGTTTGGAAAATAAAGGCCAAATCTTAATGGGAGGAACTACAAAGTCACATTAGAAATGGCAGGGATATGGAGACAATGAAGAATTTCAGTCATTATTATGATAAATCTTTCATATATAACCTTGTATATATTTTATCTTTCTACCTTAATTAATATGCTTCAAAGTTACCTGGAAGGACTGGGTTGAATTCCTAATTCTTAGAGTCATTGAACTTCTACACAGAAAAAGTGAAACATAGGTAGAATTGGCTTCTATTATCTTGCCATAACTGACTTCAACCAATAAATCAGTGCTCTATCCATATCCTTTATCCAACAACCATGACAAATCCCTAGGTTTAGAGTAGTGTACACCAGTGCCTGGCCCGATCTTGGAAGGAAATATCCAAAAACCAGGTTATGCTTGCATTAATATGCCAGGAGATTTAGGGATGTTAAATGACTGAAGCAAAAACTAGAAAGAGATGGAAAGGGCTCCAGTTAGGCATTTTCTCTTGGCCCCACATATTTCTCTCTCTTTGAAAAAGAACGTGGTCTTGGACAGCCAAGAATGGCGTTCCTGATTTTTTAATCTAAGATGATATGATTAGTGATACATCTGGAATTTTTCAAGTATTTTTTCAAAATGTTTTATTAATGGGACCCCATTTTTGAAAAAATAGAATGCCAATGCTTGGTCTTTGAAGTCAACAAAAATAATAGGGGGTAGAAACTAGTCCTCTTTTTAAGGGTGCTTAAAGAAATGTGTTGGAAAAATATTAACATTTTTGTGTTCTTCACAAAATTATTGACCATTTGAATATCAAAGTCTTTACTTGATCTATGTTGCATTAGTTTTCTATTGCTGTATAACAAATTTCCAAAACTTTAGCAGTATAAAACAAATCACATTTACTAGATTGAAGTCACATTATTGTTGGATTATTCAACTATAATGTGTCATAAGACTAAAATAAAAATATTGGCTGAACTTAATTCTCATCTGAAGACTGTTGAGTTAAACCCAGTTCTATCATCATTTTTGTTCCTGAAAAAGTTTGTGTTTTATTAAAGCTGCTTGTTTGCTCTTTTCAGTTGTGTAAGAAATGTTCCTGTGTTCTTGTTGGCTGTCAGTTCCTAGAGTCTGGTTTCTTTTTTTTTGAGGCCACCTATATCCTTGACATGTGGCCTTCTCTATATTTAAGCCAGCAGTGACTCAGTGAATCTTTCCAGTGCTTTGGTCCTCTGAATTCCTCTGTCTCTGTCCTCTACATGCAATTAGGTCAGTTCCATTCCAATAATCCCTTTTTTACTAAGCCATGTAACATAATTTAATCAGTAATGTTATTGCCTATCATATTCAGAATTCCAGGGATTATATGAAGAGCAGAAATCTTAGGGATCATATACAAATTTGGTCAACCGCATATGTCTTCTTAGCTGAACTGAGGGCTACCTTCACTTCCTAAAGGTAATATCAAATTACCATTATATGAAAAAACAATGCATACATATAAGTGTTTTGCAAATATTAATCCATTTAAACAAGATTTTATAAAAAGAGTTATACAATTATTTTATTAAGGTACCCAATGAATCATATACATTAATATACTATCTAAATTATTTGGTTATTAAAAGTGAATTTATCAAATTGCCACCTTCAAATGTAATACACAAAAATGTATATTTTTTATTTTACATTAAAAGTCCTGCAATTATAAATATAAATATATGCTTTGGATTCTGAAAATCAACTAATGGTAGACACAAATGCCCATTTTCTTATTTCTTTCAAAAATAGAGGATTGAATGATGCCTTTTATGATAACAATAATATAAATCACAAATTACCATACAGTATATTTTAAATAATAAAAGCAATAGTGGCATCAAGAATATTTGAGAGATTCATTAATTTTGATATATGTAGCTAGCACACTTATTTTTCTTTGTAATTGGTATACATTTGTTTGAATAAAACATAATATATTTATCCTTTATCTCATTGAAAACACAAGTTTTTTTCCAATACTTTGCTATTTTAATAGTGCTTAAAAGGATATTTTTATATGTATCTTTCAGTATACACATTCCAGATCTGTCTGGTGTTTATTAAGAATGTTATCAATTCTGTTTATTTTACATCCATTTTATGAGTAGCACTTTCTCAGTAAGGTTTGCTGTATCTTACTCTTACTATATCTAGTCTGGAGTGTAGAGACCTCAGTTGTTTTTTTTTTATTTTTATCTTTCCAAATTGAGCACATGGATAATCTCATCAAATCCCATGTCTTTAAATGTTAATAAATGCCAGATATCCAAACTTATCTACCTAGCTGCCAACTTGACAATTCTTTCTTGAATATTCAACACACTCAAATTACCTTAACAGAACAGTTAATTTTCACCCCTAAATCCTGCTTTTTCTTCATTCTTCTATATGTTAATGATATTAAAATGCACTTAACTATTCAGGCCAAGCATCTAAGAACAGCCTTTTTCTCATGGAATTATCTCCTTTCAACCAATTTGTCACCAAGTTGAACCTAGGCTTATCTTCAAAACATATCTGGAATTAATACATACCACCTTAATCCAAGCAAACCTCATCTCTAGATTAATCCATTTTAAGTGCCTCCTAAATAATCCTCTTGCTTCTCTTGTTCTTATTTTTCACACAGCATACAAAGTGATCTTTTAAATATGTAAATTATACCATTTCCCTGGTCCTTTGTAGGGACAATTGGAGTTCATCTATCCCCAAATAATTTATCCTGTAATAAAACCACTTAGAGAATAGTTGACATTTAGATCAATTAACATCCAAAATTATACTTAAAATGTCTTGTATTTTATTTAATTATTTCCTAATATTATACTGCCTCAGAAATAATAGACTAGTTGCTATTAGTAGTCTAAACTTTCATTAAATGGCATTGAGAAACCATTGTGCATCTGAAAAGTTTCTCTCTCTCTCTCTCTCATGCAATGATGCAAAGAATTTCTTCAAAATTTATTTTACTTTGAAGATATATTTCCATTGTGATTTCTATAAAAATTAATTCTTAGCTTTTCTTCATTTCACATTAAGAACTGCTTTTGGTACAATACTTTGCAGTTATATTAAAATAGCATCTTCTTGTTACTTTTATTTTAGGTGGGCCTTTTTTGAAAGATTACATCACCATTCAAAGTGTTGCAGCTTCCTCTATTGTCACACTCTATTTTACAGACCTAGGTCGACAAGTCAGTTGGACTACTGTAAGTGTCTATCGGAAATGCAATTTACATTCCCCACACTGCTCAAAATAACAGAATATTTCTATCAAATAAGTTCATAGTGAAATAAGATGATGTACTGAATTGTGTTTTTAATTTTCTATCCTTACTATGATCAGTAGCCAAAATTCTATTTTTAAAAATGGAACAATAGAAATCCACAGTTAAAAAAGAAAAAAAAAAGACACTTTTGTTAATGTTATGCCACCCTGTTACTGGGAGCTTACTCTCTGCTTCCTCTATGTCTTGTTAGTTAAAACTATCTCTTTACCTTTTTACTGTAGTAGTTTAGAAATGTCAAAGGCTCTCTTGACATTGCAGAATGGGATAATAAATATCCAGTAAAAAAGGAGATTCTCAGGCACAGGAAGGAAATTTTAGAAACTCAGAAAGAAAACGTAAGACTTTCAGCTTGTAAAAATGTTGTACTTCTTCTTCTTCTTCTTTTTTTTAATAAAAGTAAAATAGGAGGTCTCAAATTGATGGCATCTGAATTCAATGACTTTAGAAAAATTAGAGCTATATTTAAAAATGAAGGATAAAGAGGTAATTAAAATACCTGGTACAATATTGCACGTATTTAAACACTTGTAAATAAAACAGTAAGTCAATGGAATAGCTTCAACAGCAAAAGGAAATATTATAGGATATTCAGTTACAAAGTCAGTGAATGAGTTAACCTAGTGAATAATTTTGATGCTGATAAAGAAAAATAGTAGTCTAGCTCTTTCAATTATGTTAATCATTTTTCTGTGTATTATTTAAAAGATAAACTCTCCAATTATGCTCTACTTTACATTTGTAATGTGATTTCTTTAACCATTTCCCATTCAAAATGGCTTTTCTTTTTGACAGCATCAACAACCAACATTTTATTCACAGTGCTTTGTGCATTACCTCTACAATTAAACAACCAATTTTAAAAATTATTACTACAAGGGCAGGTTAATTTTTATATTAGTATTTAATTTTCTAAAAAGTAAGTTCAATTTTATATTTATTAGGTAAAATATTGTCATATCTGTTAATATTTTCTAACAATTTTCCCTTTTGTGATATATTTTCTTCTTTATTTAGAAAATAGTTTTATTTTTAGTCAAATAGTTAATTTAGTTTACAATGTTTAGTGAACTTTTGAGTACTAATTTTAGCACTAAAGACTGAGTTTAAGCTGGGCTCGGTGGCTCAGCCTGTAATCTCGTGCCTTTGGGAAGCTGAGGTGAGTGGATTGCCTGAGCCCGCGGGTTCGAGACCCGCCTGGGCAGCACTACTTCATCTCTACAATAAATCAAAAAATCAGCCAGATGTGGTAGCGCATGCCTGTAATTCCGGCTACTTGGAAGGCTGAGTCGGAAGGATCGCCGGAGCCCAGCAGGTCGAGGCTGCGGTAGCCGGGAGCGGCCACTGCACTCCAGTCTGGGCGACAGAGTGAGACTCCAAAAAAAAAAAAAAAAAAAAAGACTGAGTTTAGAATTTTCTGAATTCTTGTGAAGCATATTATATTGTTAAGAAAACAATTCTTTGATGCATACATTGTGTAAAGTTTTTAATACTGTACTTAAATGTGATGTCTATAGACCTTTACTTGAACAGGTTTTAGACAAGTGGATTTGGTCCTCAAAGGTTAAAATATTCAGAGGGTTTTTGTTCACATTTATGATGAAAAAGTAATTCTGCTTACAAAAATTGTGTCAGTGCGAGTGCTGTTAACTGTGAGTACATTAGACATTCCAGCTGCATCACTTGGATAAGCACTGAGAAGAAAAAGCAGTAAGGTGAAATTCTATGGCAATTGTACTAGAAAATTATAGCTTATTTGAGAGGAAAGTCATCTATGTGACAAAAAGAACTCTAGAAATAGGCTAGGTATTTTTATATCAACCCTATCATTCACACATGTTTTGCTCCAAATGAGTCAGTCCTATTACATGCTAAAAATATACACATTGCATTGCATGAAACCCATTTTGATAAACTAAATTATACAACATAGGCAATCATTTACCACATATAACCTTCCTGTACATTTATAAAATATTCAAATGTGTCTCTATAATAAAGCATTCTGTAGACTTTTTTAGAAGCAATCTATTTGTTAGCAAGATCAAAAGTAAAATATTAATATTTTTTCCTAGTAAAAATGTTTTATTAATTACTGAATTTTTTTTTGTCTCATTTCACTTACTAAAATCTTAGGAGAAAGGGATAATATGATAATGCAATAATCCTTATTATATAAATACCTTTAAAGATCTAATTCAGTTTTCACCATTTTTATATACATTCATGTGTATTTGTGTGAATGTCTAGTTCTATGTAGTTTACCTTTTATATAAATGCTGTCTAACACCAATGCCAAAATAGAGAATTGCCTCATGCCTACAAAAGGATTCCTTCATGAGATTCTTGTGTATATACACCCCCTTTTCTCTATCCTCAGGTATTCTTTAATCTGTTCCTCATGTTTTTATTTTTGTCATGCTGAGACTGCTATATAAATTAAATCAAACCATCTTTTTGAGACTGATATTTATTTTTCTCTAAGCATAGTGCTCTTGAAATCCATTCTGGTTGTTACATGAACTAATAAGTAGCTCCTTTTTATTGGTGGAATAATTATTCCTCTTTATTCAGTTATATGGCTATAAAGGAGTTTGTTTAAACATTTGCCCTTGGAAATACATTCAGGTAGATTTCAGTAGTTATTTATTCATTTATTTTTAATTTTTTAATTTTTAATTTTTTTAATTTTTAATCAATTTTTTAATGATATTGTGGGGTACCGTTAAGGGTTAGGTATACAAATATGCTCTGTTCAGGCACCCTTGTTGATAAGAGGTGTCTCCCCGTCCCCAG